TTTGTGAATTTTAAGAATTTCTAAAATGATTAAGGGATGAAAAAAGAAATATAATTTAATTTTCTATTGATTTTGTAAAAAAAGCCATGTCCCTCCAAATTTATCTATCAAAATAGATAACTCCAAATAAAATAGTTTTTTTTCATCTAAACGAATAGAAGGTCAATATAGTTTAACCAGTTATAAACAGTGGCGGAGGGAGAGTAGTTTGAGGGGGTTCAATTGAACTCCTGATTTTCTAAAAAAAAACAGCCCAAATTTTCATATAATTTGTTTTTTTAACCCGTTCAAAAAGAATTTTGCCCCATTAATTCAAAAATAAATAAATTATGTTTCATTTATTTTTAGATTTTATATTTTTTCTAGTCATAAACTCATTCAAAAAAATGGTAATATTTATTTATTCTATAAAAAAATTAAATTTAATGGTACATTGTTCATTATTATTTAATTTGATAAATATTACCAAAGTCGCTTAATTTCAATCTTTATCTAATGTGGCATCAAGAAAAGTTGGAAATCAAGTAAAAATTATCTAGTTGGAATCTGGAATTTCTGAATTTTAATGAAGATTCCGGCGAACTTATGTATAGTTCGGGAAGCTTATCTAGAATCCAGTGCGTGATTTTTCAATTTTTTCACTTTTCCCACTCTTTCTGTTCGTATTTTACTTTTGTTCCATCAATATTTGATTACTGGAGATCCTGCAATATTTCCAACTGCAGTTGAAGCAGATCCTACAATATTTCAAATCTTGATGATGTTGCCATCATATATATTTCAGTCTTACTTTCAATTTCTCGCTTGTATGTTGAAGCATTGTACTTTTTGACCATAAATCATGAGATAAATGACAGTGAGAAGTTGTTTTATTTTGTGAATGTATATAATGCTTTAATCTCTAATTTAAATTGAAAAAAATATAGGGAGGATTTGGATGGATATGGTGTAAGAGAATTTTTAAAATAATATTAAATAGAATGTTTGTATTATTTGAATTAATAATATAAATATTATATTTAGATTGTTTATCTCTAATTTGAATGCTAGGTGCTGAATATTGTTGGTATGCCATGTCATTAGTTAGCATTTAATTAGGAATAATAGTAACTTATAAATAATATATTGATAGTTTTGAGCAAAGCGTTGTTACGGTTCGGTTTAACAAAAAACGGTGCAATACAATATTTTAAAAAATACATTTATTCCCAAACATAATGTAGCATCATTATAAATTGAATGTTTCTTGACACGATGTCTGTAAAATACTATCAAAGATATGTTTAGAGAGACTGTGCAATTCTCTTTAAGGATTTCAAAGTATCCTGCAGGAAATTCTCCGGTAAACCCGTTTGCATCCAACATACCAAGATTGGTGGGCGCGAATTGTTCCTTAAACTTAGTGTGGAAACATACGCTTTGGAAGTTTATCAAAAAAAATTATTTCTCTATTTTCATCTTCATTAATTCTTAGTTTTGCAGCAGGCCCAAAGACTATAAATATAACATTCTTAAGGAACAATTTATCTCATTCAATGGATGCTTCACTAAAAGAGATGACTTCTGACTTTGTGAAATTAGAGAAGTTTGATGGAGGGAATTTTATTCGTTGGCAGAAAAAAAATGAAATTCCTTCTCACAACATTGAAAGTGGTGCATATCCTTAACATTCCAAAACCGAAAGAAAAAGAAGATGAAACAATTGCTAAAACTAGAGAGAGACAAAAGTGGGACAATGATGATTATATATGCATGTGACACATTCTCAACGGTATGTGCGATTTGTTGTTCGACATTTATCAGAGCAGCAACTCCGCAAAATAATTATGGGAGAAATTGGAATCAAGATACATGCAAGAAGATGCTACAAGTAAGAAGTTTCTTGTTTCTCAATTTAATAATTATAAAATGGTAGACATTAGGCCTGTGATGGAACAAATGTATGAAATCGAACGTATTCTCAATAATTACAAACAACATGATATGAATATGGAGGAAACAATAATTGTATCTTTCATAATAGATAAACTTCCTCCATCATGGAAAGATTTTAAAAAATCTTTGAAACACAAGAAAGAGGACATATCTCTTGAGCAATTGGGTAATCGCCTTCGTTTAGAAGAAGAGTATCGTAAACAAGATGATACTAAAAATCAAATTACTCATGAGAAGGTGCATGTAATGGAGGAAGGAAATTCAAGTAAAACTTCCAAGAAAAGAAAGCAAGATTTTGGAAAATCTTATGAAAATCATAATGTTAATAGCAATAATAACAATAGAAAGAAAAAGAAAGGAAATTGCTATCATTGTGGAAAATCATGACACTTTAAAAAATGAGTGCAGATTTTTAAAAAGAGAGAATAAAAACAAGAACTCAAGTGCAACAACAGACAATCTTGTTGCGGTCATTTCTGAAATCAACATGATAGAAGATGTTGATTCTTGGTGGATAGACTCTGGTGCTACCCGTCATGTGTGCAAAAATAAAAAATTATTCAAGACCATCAATGAAGAAAATGGTAGTGTTTTGTACATGGGAAATGCTTCTACGGTTCAAGTCAAAGGAAAAGGATCAGTAGAGATTGAATTCACATCTGGAAAATTACTCACTCTGAAAGATGTACTTTATGTACCTGAAGTTAGAAAAAACTTGATATCTGTATCTTTACTTAATAAGTATAGTTTCAAATCTGTATTTGAGGAAGATAAATTTATTCTCTCCAAAAGGGGTATGTTTGTAGGGAAGGGCTATCTTTCTGAGAATATGTTCATGTGTAATGTTATTAATAATAATAACAATAATAATAATAATAATGATGTGATTTCTGCTTATATTGTGGATTCTTATGATTTATGACATATGCGACTAGGACATGTTAATTTTAGAAAATTAAATGATATGATGAAATCAAATTTAATTCCAAGTATTGACAAAAATTCAAATTCATGTACTACTTGCATGTTAACTAAAATCACTAGACAACCTTTTAAAACAGTTGAAAGAAGTTCTAAAGTGTTAGATTTAATTCATTCTGATGTATGTGATTTACATGGTTGACCTACAATTGGTGGTAAAAAGTATTTTGTCACTTTCATTGATGATTGCACTAGATTCTGTTATGTTTATTTAATGCACTCTAAGGATGAAGTCTTAGAAAAATTTAAAAATTTTAAAGCACAAGTAGAATTTCAACATGAAACTTTCATTAAATGTTTTCAGAGTGATAGAGGGGGAGAGTTCTATCATCCTAATTATTTTGAGTCCACTGGTATTATACATCAAATAACTGCACCATATTCCCCACAACAAAATGGAATAGCAGAAAGGAAAAATAGGGTGTTGGAAGAAATGGTAAATGCCATGTTATCCTATTTTGGTTTATCTAAAGGATATTGGGGTAAATCCATATTAACTGCATGTTATATATTTAATAGAGCTCCTAATAAAAGGAACAAGATAACCCCATATGAACTATGGAAGAAAAGAAAACTCAATCTAAACTATTTAAAAGTTTGGAATTGTAGAGCAATTGTAAAGGTGCCTGAACCAAAAAGAAAGAAATTGGGATAAAGAGGAATTGAATGTATATTTCTGGGCTATGCTGAAAATAGCAAAGTATATAGATTCATGGTTATTGAATCCAATGACTCATATCCTATTAATACCGTGATTGAGTCAAGAGATGCAATTTTTCAAGAGAGTAGATTTACCTCAATTTAATATCCCAAGGACAATGTTCATTATGATGTTCAAAATTTTTAGGCCCAACTCAAGTAACTGTCAGGGCTTATGTGGCGTAGTGAAGACCAGCACATGGTCTTCGCCCTAGATCAACTGTCATGTGATCTTCGGAAGGTAGGTTGACCGACTCTTTCGGAGATGGGTAGTTGTCTGATGGCGTATCCCTGCGTGGGGGACGCGTAGAGGACGTGGGGGAAGTGCGTTAATTTATCCGTCAAGAAGATCTTCTGCCCGACACATGTGTCTGATTGAGGCTTATGCTCGACGGAGGAGGAGTGGGCCTTGTTGTGCCTCATCAACATAATATTGGATTGGATTTGCTCGGCTGTGGAACAGGTCTCAGCCCAGTTCAAAACAATATGTATTATATATAAAATTGTTTTCATTACATAACTTAAAAATCAACTTTATAAAATAAAACTAAAAGATGCTTTTGGAAACTAAAAGGTACTAAAAATTGTTTTGACTTTTCGCTTTGCTAAATCTAAACATTTTAGAAAGTCTTAATTTACATTGCCATGAAAAAATAATATGAACTCATAAATTTTGAGACCATGTGGTGTGGTATTTATTGGGCAGAATCTGACATGACCTGTGTGAGGGATTTACATTTATAAGATGAATGTTAGATGTAAGTTTGAGTGGTTAAAATTTTATATTATTTATAAATGGTGTAAAATGTTAAATTTATAATAGAAATAATTTATTTACTTAATACTTTAAAATTTTAGATGAAAAAGTAACGTCTCACTCTTTTATATTTCCGAATGGTTCAGAAGCATTATTCTTATTAGTATTTTTTTTACTTTTTCTGACTCAAATTTATTGTGGTTAATACACTTTTCTTTCTACCAATTTAATTAAATAGTATAATTGATCACTAGGTCAATAGAATAAAAAAAACTCCTAGTAATAATTTTTACTTCTCATAAAAAATTAATTATATCTTTTTCCAGCACTATCCATATCATAGGTTGATTTGTAACTTATGTCCCTATACTTCTCATTTCCTGTAATCTAAGTAACTAATAAAAATTTGAAAACAAGTGACATGTACATTGTTACACAAGATCCAAATTTGAAACTCATCACTATTATAACAATACATATACTAACCAAAATCAAATTAAACAAGTTAAGAAACACAAAACTACTAAAATATAAAATATTAGAGGAATAAAATTAAACGTACAACAAATTAATTATATACCTTAAGGTTTCGAAATTAAATAACTATATATAAGCCCATTAATGCACATCAAACTTCTGGTTGAACACTATTATTAGCTCTAGCTCTAATCATGTTAGCTTTACGAGTAACTCTAACATGATAAACACTCATAGCTAAAACCGCAACAAATGCACCACCAAAGATAATTCCAATAATGCCCCCAGCTCCCAAATTTTTACCACCTTTGTTTGATTTTGAGTCTTTGCTTTCATGAATTTGAGTAGCTTCAACAGCTAAAGGAAAAGGTGAACATTTAGATGAAGTGCATGGATCATTATCATTATGCTTTTGTGAATTTGGATGAAAGAATTCATATGCTGATGGTGAAAAGGCCTTTGGGTTTTGGTAAACAAGGCCATGAGGTGCTCTTTCTTGAGATGTAACAATGGTGATGATGAGTGATAGAGAGAAGAGAAGGAGACCAATGGGGTTGGACATTTTTTGTGTTTTAATGTTTTTGTTTGGTTGAGGTTTTGGTTGTTTGTTTTATAGTTGGAAGTTGAAGGAGTAGTGTGGGTTATGTTGTGGAGTGGGTTGGGTTGGGTTTTATAATGGTGTGAGGTTGTGAAGAAGTGGGTACACTTGCAATAAAAGTAGTGTATTCATTGGAACAACTAAGGTTATATAGCCTATTGTCACAACCTTGGCGTGACTTTAAGAATGATTTACTCATACTTGAGTGCCTTACTCAATGAATATACTAGTACTACAATTCGAGTAATTAAATAGGGACTAGGGGTTGAAATCATTCAACAATTTATTTATCATTGCAATTAAGATATTAATCATTTACTTAAATTAAGCTTCACCTACAAGAATTGGGTGTTGATTATGAGTGAGAATAAGCAAAACTATCTTACTAGTTGATGTTTTTTTTTAATATTTCTTAATTAGAATGTTTAGCCAAGAAGTCCTTTCAGACATATTTTTCTTGGATTGTTTACACTTTACACCAAAAATATTGTGATGTTTGTTGAAAAGGGTTTATGATAAATATTCGGTAAGCCGAATCAAAAAAGTCGAGAATGTTTTATAGAGTCTGTTTATTTAATCATAACAAGAAAATTGTATTTTTATAAATGATTTTCATGAAAATATTTTTTTAAATATTACAAAAAAGAATTTAATTTGTTTTTTCTAAATTGAAAGAATAATTCTGATTTTCTATAATATAAACATATCATATTGAAGAATAAAATATAGTTGAAATTACAAATATTTCAAAAAATTGTATTTCAAAAATAATTTTTATAAAAAATTATTTAAAATAACTTCAAAATAAATTTTTTTAATATTCATAAAAAGTTTCACTAAAATAATGAAATAGTTAAAATGATATTTTAAAAATAACTATTCAAACAAAATATTGAAATCTTTATAAAAATTTCTTTGTAAATTTTTTTCAAATCAAAATACATAATACTATAAAAATCATTAAAAAAAAGACTAAAGCCAACTGCCTTTGAGTTTAAAAAATTTACATCTGATCTAAGACAAACTCATTTAACAATCCAATTTTATCGTCCTTTAATAAAAAAAAGGAGAGAACAATGCAACTAGGTCTGTCTCACCTAGAATAAATTAACTATGATTATCCTAATAATTGATTTTGTATTTGACTTTCAAAAAATTGAGACTAGTTTTACTATTATTTTATTTGCATTCAATTTTACTTATATTTTTAGTATTTAAGTTCTTCACAGTTCAACATTTTTCTTGATTTAATATTTTTTTAATCATACGAAATTTATTATGATCATTTAACTTAAAATATATTTATAACGAGTCTTTAACTCTTTTAAATACATCAGTTAATTTTATTGAATTAACGATGAATTTAGCAATTAATTTTTAAATTTTTTCGTCGTTAATTAGACAAAAATGATTAATATAGTACTTTTTAAAGAATTAAAAAATTAATATAAAATCTTTTTAAATTAAAAGGTCAAAATGAACTTCAAAATTAAGATACGAGACAAACATGATATTAAGCTATATTTATAGAGTAGTTAAAAAATCACAATTATTTATTTCTTAAAAATGTGTATTTACTTTTAACATAATAGAAGTATTGAAACTATTACACAAGGCAAAAGAGAGATGTCCATACGAGGCGACAAACAGATGTTCATCTTTTTGTTAGATTAAGTTTTTTATGGTCAAACATCAAAATTGTACCTTAAGGATGGACATATTATATCACCACTACAATATAAAAAGGAAACCAGCTAGAGTAGTATTTTTTACTCTTGTGTTACACCCTCTTATTCATAAGATCAAAGACACTCACAAACTTCTTTTACATACTTGGTATCTTTAAGATTATACCATTTTAGAAGATTTAGAGGAGGTGGCAATAACATTTATCATATGAGAGACGAGTTTAGGATTGGACCTTACATTGAATATTTATAAGGCTGAAATTTTTTGGCCTTGGTGTGATGATAGTAAACATGGTCGGCTTTGTACCAATCAAACATTGGGAGGCCGATGTTAAAGGTGAAATCGCTCGGAGTGGTTGTTAGTCAAGATAAAGGTTTTGTTAAGGGGTTGTCCATGAAGAGAACTTTAGTATTGTTGAGCTAATATATATTCTTCCATAATTGAAGGATCAACACAATGAGCTTCTTCTACTTTGATCCTACATGGGTATCGCAAAAATTAAATTTTGACCTAAGATCATGTCAATCGATTCACATGGAGAAGGATGAGACTATATGGTTTGATATAGAGTTGTGAGGGACAATCTTAGACATTGTGTTTTCTTCGAAAACCTTCAATGGATAGAGGCTTCGTTAACTGTTAGATTTAGGGGATTGAGTCAGTACTCAGCATTAGAGGTTGCCTCCAACGCTTATGTGGCTTTCAAAGTCCAATCTTGAATTTAGCAAAGTTGTACATGGTCTTAAAGGTATGATTCTGACTTTTGACCCTAGTATTATTACTAGCTAGGACATCTTCCCCCTAAATCCTAACATATTTTGACGAATGGTCGTTTTAGTAAAAGTGTTCAGGATATTGAAATTTTTTTTTGACATGACCACAACGTATAAAGCATTTTTTTTTTGTGTTTACAAGCAGCGCATGCTCATGATTTTTGTTTAGTTATTTCTATTGATGGGTTAGATCATCATATGTCACAACTCATCAATAGAGTATCGTGTTTTTCTTAGATATCGCCTCATGATTCCATTATTTTTTATTGATGAGATTTTTTCTATTTGTCATAAGACGTGTCTCAATACCTTTGAATAGCGCGAAGTTCATCGTAAGGAATTTCAACACTTAAAATACTGGCATGAATTTGTTAGGGAGGTCATTGTTGATATATTTAGACAGACAAGAGTATATATGAAAAAAGAGAAATATATGATTTTTTTTAATTAATGCAATGAGAAAAAATTGACACACAACAAATGTTTAAGTGTGTGGATAGAAGATAAACATACATATATGGATATGACTGAAATTTTCTCACTTGTGGAACTGATGTCTAAAAAATTTACTATGAGACAAATTATGTGAAATTGAGATCTAAAGACTTTACTATGGGACAAACAATCCTTAAAGTTGTTTTAAGTAAAGTGACAAAAAATGTGTAACATGTATTGCCAATCAACATACTTTATGACATTTGTGTTTAACATTTTTAGCTTTCTAACACTAGAGTTAATAAAAAAAATTTAAAGACTTTAAAAAGTCGAGAAAAAGAGTTTAAAAAGTCGACACTACGCCAGAATTGATTTTTAGCAGCGCATACAAAGACAGCGCTTTTAAAAAAAGCGCTGCTAAATAGTCAGTAAAAAAAAAAGAAAAAAATTACCTACCAAAGATAGCGCTTTTTTAAAAAGCGCTGCTAAAAGGGGACCCTTAGAAAGCGCTTTTAAAAAGCGCTGCTAAAAGGGGACCCTACGAGAGCGCTTTTTTTATAAAGCGCTGCTATATGTCATTGCTAATGCACCCTATGAAAGCGCTTTTAAAAGCGCTGCTAAAGGCCTTTAAAAAGCGCTGCTAAAGGTATTAGTATAATAATTTTTATATACCCTCCAGAATTATAAACGAAACAGAACACGCGTTTTTTCGTTTTCTTCTTCGTTTCTTCATTTCTCCATTGCCCTATCTTCCATTTTCGCCCTCCGTTGAAGCTTTCGTCGCCGTCCGTTTGCGCCGTCGTCTTCCATTTGTTTTTGCCGCCGTTCGCCGTTCCCTTTCGCCACCGTTCACCGTTTTTTCTCCTCCACCGTTACGGTAAATCCGCGACTGTTACGACATTTTTATGGATTATTGTCTTAGTATTGCATTTTTCTGGATTAGATGATGTTAGTGCTACTTCTTTCTGAGTTATTGACTTGTTTTTGTTGATACCATTGATGAGCATTACTCTTTTGATATTGGCTTGAGTTTTGTATGCAAGGTGTTTGTTGAAATGCCACAATGAATTTTGAGCATTATAAATTAGTTTAGAATAATTTAGTCCATTACCAAAATTTTTGAGAGTATGCTTTAATAATTTAGAATAGTTTAAAATCATATTAATGCAATAGTTTAGAATAGTTTAGAATAATTTAGTCCATTTCCACCATTTTTGAGAGTATGATTTAATAGTTTAGAATAGTTTAAAATCATATTAATGAAATAGTTTAGAATAGTTTAGAATAATTTAGTCCATTTCCACCATTTATGAGAGTATGCTTTAATTTAGTCCATGTCATTTTGAGCATTATAAAATAGTTTAGAATAGTTTAAAATCATACTAATGAAAGTATGCTTTAATAGTAGAATAGTTTATTATAGTATATCTACTTTTTTTTAATATGATTTGTTTTGTTGGATTATCTAGTTTTTTTGTTTTGGTTAATTATTAATATGATTTTAATAAAATGTATATATTGTCTGTTATAGGGGTTACCTGAGAAGAGCAAGGTTGTGATTGTTTCCAAGCATCCTACTGTACAACTTTCTTAGAAGTTAGTGATTTCTTTACAGGTATTCTCTGTTTTTGCCTAACTTTCATAGTATGGATAAAAATTGGATGTCTGTTAATCGATTGTCAAAAGAGTACGAGAATGGGGTATCGAACTTCGTTAAGTTTGCTGTTGAACACGCCAAAGACCCCAGTAGGATCACATGTCCTTGCTTAGGTTGCTGTTATGGGCGTCGAATTGACGCGGTTCAGTTGGAATCTCATTTAATGAGACATGGAATTGATCGAAGTTACACATGTTGGACATTACACGGTGAGATAAGTAACGAGAATGTTGAACCCCAGAACAATATGACCTCTACTTCAAAGGACAATGGTAGGGATACATACGATTGTGATCGAGTCGAAGATATTGCAGAAGCACTTGAAGAAGATCTTAAAGATTGTCCAAAGATGTTTGAGAGGTTGGTAAGCGATGCAGAGAAGCCGTTGTATAAAGGTTGCACTACTTTCA